AGACCAATATACCGTGGTTCACTTATTCAAAATCGAACAAGCTACATCCACGTTGAGCTCCATAATATGGAGACTTGCCGCACTATGATTAAAAACCTCAAGATGTAAATATTACAAACAGATCTCCCTCTCAAACTCAACCTCAACGTCAATCACTCACTCACTCTTGTTCCCTTTTATACCAAAAATCTTGAATCCCTAGAGAACCAAATACTCTACTCTTGAAGGAAAACCCAACCTTCAACAAGATTCTACATAGATTTACAAAGGAGAACTAACCCGAATGAGAAAAAAACACCAGCAATAGAGACTACAATCGCAATAACAGAGAGAAAAATTGAGAGAGCTGATTTATTTGGGAAAGTGTCTTATTTTATTCCATTGACCTACTGGGTGAATATAAGCCATTGGATCATGCATCAATCGAAGGGCCAGAATTTGTTGGAGCTTCACAAAATGGCAACGCATTACTTAAGTTCAAAACGGCACTGCAGACTTCACAATTTAACACTCTATTTAATAGAGTTACAGTTATACTGAGGTCAACCAAAAAAAAAAAAATATGAATCTACGTCCAACTAGTGAAAAATCTGATAATGTTTTGCACCAAAACAAGGCAGAGCCTCGAGAGCAACAATTAGAGAACTTGTTCGTTGAAGAAGCTAGTTTTTCTTATGTGAAAGATGCTCTAGATGAGATTGATTGTCCAAGATAAGTTTTGTTTATTAGGAAGCACAGGTCATTTTTATAGATTGACATATATAATGGAAGTAAATTCAATGTTGTGGAGGGCAAATTATCCTATAATTACCATAGGAAAAATACAATAATGATACATAATTGAATCCTTATGAAACTGATGCAACCATTATATATACAATTATGACAAACAGCATATAAATCCTTATGAAACTCATGCATAAACTTAGTATGTCAACTTAATCATACAAATCCTATCTAGTTAATGTTACATTGTAGGGCTAAATTTTAATTTTGTGGTAATTTCATAACATTTGTAGATAGGAAAAATTGTATAGAAATTATTTTTTTTTATGATTCAACAAAACATACATGATTGCAAGATGAGGAAAATTCTTTGGTAATTAATTTAATGTCAATAACAAATTTGAATATTTTAACTTTGCTACAATTGATTTTGTATAAGTTATGTTGTAATATCTTATTTCTAAGTCTTATTTATTTATTTATAAGTCTTATTGTTTTAGTCTCCAAACTCAATCTAATTAATTCGGTTTATAATTGAAATTTTATAAAATATTAAGTCATTCAACTATTAATCATAAAAATGTTTATTTCTCTACTAGTTTTCTAGAAGACTTTTGGAGAAAAGCAAGAGAGTGAAACAACTTTGTTTTGTCATGACAAGTCGGTTATTGCTCATTGCGAAAAATCTAATTTGTTACGACCAGGCAAAATACATTGAAATTAAATATCACTTCATCAAAGAAGCGTCAAAGAAAGGCAATATTCATCTTGAATATTGCAAAACAGAGAAGCAACTTGTTGATATACTTACCAGGGGAATTCCATAAAAGAAAATTTTTGTTATCTTAAGGAGAGTATTGAAGTTGTGAGGATCATTCATTAAGGTGGAGTGTTGAAGTTAATGAACGATTATGAATTCAACATGTTTCCAGAATTTATTTTTATTAAAATATATGTTAAAGTTAGAATTCTTATGCATGTGTTTCGAAATTCTCATGCATGTTTGAGTCTTTCTAAGTGATGTTTGAGTTTCTCTAAGTGATGTCTGTAATTCTATAAGAAATTAATTGTTGAGTCTTCATCATGTAGTCTCGCAAGAAAAACAGAAAAAGAATTCTAGCAAATTTAGAGTTCTGCGGTAGTAACTCAGTTTAATTAGATTCCTCTTCTTAGGCACTCTCTAATTTGCATTTTTTTCTCCAACATATGAATGTGTTAGTCTCACCCATCTTTCTCATGCTCTTGCTTGCCCAGTGTTGACAAATTGGATAAAGCTTATGTTTTTGTATATACAAAGTAATTTACAGAAATAACCATTATAAAACAACTTTGAAAAATGTAAACTGAAACAATCATTTTTACTTGAAAAATTAGCTAAAATAGCCCACTTTTGGGGGACTCTATAGAGAAATGGCAAAATTCTTAAACTTTTACAAACCTAGAGACATGTAGTGCCCAAATTTCCAAACGGCAAAAATACAATTGTCTATTGGATATTACTTGCACCCTAAGTAAATAATCCAAGAGATATTCTCCTAAAAAAAAGTAGAATCACAATCTAATGAGGAATATGATACGTTTACAAGTCTTAAAACACTTGTAAACATGAGTAGACAAGGAATTGTAAGTCCTAAAACACTTGCTAATTCAGTTGAATTGAAGAATTTCACTCCAAGTCCTAAAACATTTGGATTGTGGAATGTGGAAAACAATGGAGGATATTCAACCCAAGCAAGTTCCAAGGAGAGAGAGAGTCCAAACATTTCGGCCCAAGCCACTCCAAGCCCAAGCACAACAAGGAAGCTCAAGCCCACCAAGAAAGAAGTCCAAGTGTTGAAAAAGTCTAATCTGGTCCAAGTTTCATTTCAAAGGGGAAGATCCACATGATCCCTTATTAGATTCATTTGCATGATTCTCAAGGCCCAAATTCTTACACCCTTATTAGTAGACTTAATTGAGATTATTGATTAAGTTTTAATCTAATGGAAGTAAGCTTATTCAACTAATGGGGTGGTTAAAGACATAGATCCTAAAATTAGGGAATTATGTCTCTTTTGCATTAAATAGGCATGACCTTGGTTTTTGAATGAATGACTTGTAATATTTAGTAAAGTTTATTTCATTTTCTTGTATTTGTCAATTACTTTTTTATCCTTATATTTGCCTATATAAAGGCAACTATTTTATTGTAACATTTAGCTTTTGAAATATATGAAATTGGTTTATCCATTTGAGAGTACTTTTGTGTTCTTAAGTGTGAATTTTTTATCCAAGTCTTGACAAGGGATTTGGTGGTGAATTAATTCAAGTTAGTGAAGCAATCCTTTATGCTTGAAGTACTATTACTTGTCTTGGTCCAGAAATTGCAAGTAAGTGTTTTGAATTCTAATTTTTGTGTTGGCCGAATCTACTTGGATTTGTGGTATGTTGTTGTGTTGTATTGGTTGGAAATTGATCAGAATATAAGGGAATTAAGTAAGTTGAGTCAATATAGGAAGTGAATGAAGAATGGATCTGTTCCAAAAAAAATTGAGTTAGATCCCAAGTTCTCTTAAAGACCACCTTTCCGTTTCCTACTAGATATCCTACTCCACAAAGGGAAGTATTTTCCTAAAACTCTCTATACTTCGCTATATAAAGGAGGCTAATGGCATGGAATGATACACAACAATTTATACGGAAAAAGCCTCACATTAGAGCATTGCAAGTGAACATTGATTACAGCCTATATTAGCCTCCCTTTCTTTTCTATCCTTGTGATTTTGCAGGAAATCTATTATTTCTTGTAAGAACCAGCATTGTAGTCATCTACGATTCTAGAGGGGTCAATCTAAGAGCAGAACGAGAAGGTTAGTGTGGTCCGAAGGGCAAGACTCTAATCTTGTGTTTGGTTCAAATTTTGGCATCAATAAGACCTTTTACCCAACCAGGAAAAAATGCCTCTCCTTTGTCAATTAAACCTTCTTCTTTCCCATTTTCACTCAATCCTCTTCTTTAACACATACTTGACACTGAAACGAGCTCTCAAGCACCAAAAGAAAGAATGAGCATACTGAAGATTACTTACAAGAATTGAAATATTCTCAATTGCAAAAGCTAAACAATTAAGAGCGTGTTTAGGATTGTTTTAACTTAAGAATTAATCTACTACAACAAATGTGTATGGTAAACAACTTTTAAACTGATTAATTTTTAAGTTAATTATAAAATAATCAGTATCATAAAATGACTCTAAAAGCTAGCATGAGTAACTTTTAAAAACCAATTATTTCTAAAGTTGATTTTACATTGTTAAAATAACAAATATACCCATACATGATTCTTTAAATTCCAAAATTAATTTAAAAAACATTTGATTATTACATAAATAATTTCATTATTCATTTATAAATTTAGAAAAAAAAATTTGAAATACCAGTGGTTGTTGCACCACTGGCATTGGTCAACGGTGAATGACTAATGGTCAACGTTGATCAACTGTCACGCTTAGATGCCAAATCCGATCCTATAAGGATCTAAAAATTCTAATATGTTGTGGCATAGATAATGACCAAAAAAACATTTTATCTCTTCAAATGTTTTTATATTTCTAAATTTGTATTTTGATAAGTATTTAATAAATACTTAAAAAAATGTATTGTAATAATTTATATTAAATAAATTAGTAAATAATTAATAATATTAAAAAAGATACATTGACTGGCCTAGACCAATATAATTATATATATTAAAAAATTGGGTTTCTTTAGTATATTTTTAAGAGGGGAATTAATTTTTAGCCCCACTATTTTCTCTTTAGCCCCATTTCTAATTTTAAATGAGGATATAATTGTAATAAAAAAATTTATTCTTCTTCTTTCATACTTTTACTTCAAAGATTTATATTTGCACTTATTAAATTTTAACAATTCAGAATTAACAATAAAGTATAAAACACAGTCATTCAATATCATTACACAGTTATGAGTTAATTTGTTTACGAAAACCTCAAATCTCTTACAATCGAAGTAATCACTTGTAAATCTTATCTTAATAAAAGAAAAACCTAGTTTCATACCCATTAAAACAAAACCCCGTTTGATTGTTAATTCGTGTTGATTTAAATTTACTTCTAATTTTTTATAACTTACACGTTTTATAAGGGGATAGGTCTACTCCATGTTTTACAACCCAATCTCCCAAAGCCCAAGCCCACATGAAAAGTATTGAAAACTTGGCCCAATATAAGGAGAGTATAACCGTTACTTTTCCAAAATTCATGGAGGAGTAAAAATCAAATCAAAACAAAACAAATAAAATAAAATAAAACAAAAATTCCGAGAAGTCCCTCTTTGCTTTTGGATCAACCGGAGATCTGAGAAAATTGTGTCTGTACTTTCCCCGCAAATTACATTCCGGTGATCCAAACACTATAACATTACATATACACAGAAAAGAAAAAGAAAAAGTGTGAAACAATGAATATTTTCAGATTAGCCGGCGATATGACCCACTTGGCCAGTGTCCTTGTTTTGCTCCTCAAGATCCACACCATCAAATCATGTGCTGGTACTTCTATTTTCTTTTTTCAACATTATTTAACAATTTGATCTGTTTTTTTTTTTTTTTCTTTTTCTAAAAAAAATTAGTTGCTGAATTTGCTTGATTTTTGTTTTAGTAAATTAGTTTAGTGGATTTAGAGATTTGATGAGTTCTTTATCCATTTCAGTAATGGATTTTTGATTAAGTAGTAAGAGAAGTTACTTTAAATGAGTTCTTGCCCTTTTAGCGTGAGGTCCATTAGATTGAAAAGTTACTCTTTACTTTTAGTTTTTAGTTAGGTTAGTGTTATTACTGGAAATTTGGATAATTCGATCTTTTTCTGGGTTTTCTGAAATGACCTCTAATTAGCGTAGATATCATTGTTGTGCATAGAAAACTAGTTATTTTCACATTGAGACTAAGTTCAGTTTGAGGGCAGTTTACTTAGACTGGTCTGGGTCAGCTAGGTAGAAGAGGAACGGCTTAGAACGGATCTAAAGAGCTGAGTTGGGTTCCTGAGCTGATTGAGAGGACCAATGCGATTAATAGATGAGGAAGAATGAGGTTAAACTAAGAGATTAAGACACATGTAGTTGCCATGTTCAGATTAGCAGAGGTGAAGCATTACGTTATTTTGAGTAAACTCATGTAGATCTTAGTTGTTGCAAAGCCAATGCTGAAAGAAACATGCTTGATATGTAGCTTTGGTTTTAATTATGGCTCTGTTCTACAGTTTATGTCTCTTAACAACATATTTATGAAAACTCTTCTTATGGCGTATGAAGCGTGTGTGTGACATTTTAGGAAATTTTAGTTCACCTATCCCTTCATTAGTGAAAATTTTTCTGTTTCTTATTTAATATCATTATCATCTTTTGTCTTTTCAGTTTTTCCCTAATTGTTGATCCATTTTACCATCATTATGATGTCTTTGCCTATACATAGGTTTACCTTTATAGTCATTGCCGTAATAAAGCTGTTCTCCACTCCTGTAATTTTAACTTCTATGTTTTATGCAGGTGTTTCTCTGAAGACTCAAGAGCTGTACGCTCTTGTTTTTGCTGCTCGCTACCTGGATATTTTTACTCATTATATTTCATTTTACAATACCATGATGAAGTTAATATTTCTTGGGAGCTCTTTTTCAATTGTTTGGTACATAAGGCATCACAAGATTGTTCGTAGGTCTTATGATAAGGACCAAGACACTTTTCGCCATTACTTTCTTGTGCTGCCTTGCCTACTTTTGGCCCTACTTATAAACGAGAAGTTTACCTTTTTAGAGGTATCATGGTCTGTTTATTTTTTGTTGGATATTCCTTTTTATCATCATTAGCTTTAGTTGTAGCTCATATTTTTCTTTCTTTTCACCATATCTCTTATGTCTAATAAAGTTGTTGGGCAGGTAATGTGGACATTTTCTCTATATCTAGAAGCTGTTGCAATACTTCCTCAGCTTGTTTTATTGCAGAGGACAAGAAATATTGATAACTTGACAGGACAATATGTTTTTCTCCTAGGGTATATTACTATTTTCAACTTCATTTCTCAATTCCTTAGTTATGATGTTCTTTTGTGATATGATGGTGCATTGGATAATTTCTAATTTTTCATTCCTGTCTTGGTACTATTTTATACTGTAGGAATGAAGTTTAATTTGCGATGGTGTTAGACTTTTGATCTCTGATTCTCATCTGATATATTATCTCTTTGTTCTCTTTACTTTTTGACGCAGAACTAATATTTCGTACTTTAGAGGTGAAGTTTAATGTTAGAGCATGATCAGTTATGAATGAATTTTTCCCTCATCATTCTTTTGTAGTACTCATTGGACTATCTTACTATTATTTCTGGCAATCAAAATTGTTCTGTCTTATTTGGTTGATTACTTTAGTGCTTGCATTTACTTGGCTTCTTCATATGCTTTCAAAATTATTTCCTTTTTCTACACAAAATCATTGAATAGATCAATGTGTAATTCACAAGTGTTTGAAGTCAATTTCCCATGTTGAAATTGCTATAGTATCCTTTGAAGTTTGCAGGACAGTTAAATTAATTGTAAATTAAGATTTTGAAGTTTCGTATGAATTGTCTATTCTAATGTTTTGCGCCTTTGGAAACTGATAGTGATATGATAGGTCAATATATTTATCTTGACCCTACTTGGTTATTTTGAAGGAATAAGAGTATAAAATAGCAATCCTCTGTATTGGACACCCTAGTCCACCTTTATACGTTCTTTCTTCATTTTAATGCAATACTTCAGTGTTTACCATAAATTAAAAAAAAAGAATAGCAATCATTTTGTGCTTTAACATCTTACTTCTATTTGATAGATCAATGTGTAATTATAGTAAAAGTGTGTTGAAGCTAATTTCATATGTTGAAAGTGAGTGTCCTGTGAAGTTTATAGGATACTTAAATTAAGTTGGAAATGTAAAATTCGAGTGTTTCATATGAATTGTTTTACCTGATCAGATCCCGTACTGTAAATGATTTGAGGCTAGAAAAGGTAAAGAACAATTTTGTAAAAATTCAAGCCAAACTAATTGAGAAACAGAGTTGTCAGTGTCTATGATTATATCATTTTCTCATGATCATGGCCTCAATTCTGGTTATGAAAGAAATTTTTCTTGACTATAATTTGTTACCTTTTTGTTTTTTTAATAGCTGTTTGCTTGGGTAATTCCATTGGTGAATGCAAACTAATATACTTTGGCTGGAAAAATTTGTAAATCTATGTGCAATGTTTTGATATTTCGTACCCGCCATACAGAAGCACTTGTGACACATTTTTGGATCATTCTTGAGCACCAAGCTTGTCTTTTTACCCCGTGTCATTCTGTATATGTGACAAATAGGAAAATTATTTGTAGTCCTTGGTTCATTTCATTTTGCACCACAGTATTGTCCTGGAAGATGCCAAAAATTTTGAGAGCATGATGCAGACTAATTATTGAGAAACTTTGGATTACCATCCACTTTTCATGGCAGTATACTAAATTCTTTTTTTTTCTTTTTTTTCTTACTCTGTAAGCAGTTTGGTTTTTTTTGATAATAAACTGTTTTACTTATCTTTGTTGCTTTATTTAATGCAGTGCATATCGAGCGTTGTATATATTAAACTGGATATATCGCTATTTGACTGAGCCACACTATGTCCATTGGATAAGTATGATCTCTCTCTCTCTCAACTGTGTGTGTGTCCATGCGCACTTTTTTGCTTGCCCTAACACATGAATGCACTATTTGTGTTTTTATTAATAAGTTCCTGTATTTGGTTTTCAACACCCTGTAAGGTGTCCCTCCACTCCTGCTGATTTTTTTTTTTCTTTGCAAGAGGCTGTTTATTTCATACATTAGGAATTGGTACTACACATGATGAAGACCTCATTTATGTGATTGTTTTTGTTTTGCAGCTTGGATTGCAGGTCTTGTTCAGACATTGCTCTATGCTGATTTCTTCTACTATTAATTCCAGAGGTCAGTGATTTAATTTTTTCAAAATCTATCCATAGATATTCTGATGTTTACAAATGTTGATCCTATTTTTATGGTTTTCAGCTGGAAGAAGAACGAGAAACTTCACTTACCAGCTTGAGACATTATTGGCCAAGGTTGCAAGTAGCATACATGGATATGTAGTTGATTAATTACAAGGACTTGGCATTTTTGTTTTCCTTTACCCATTTATTGGGTGCTCCAGCGAATATGTTAAGTACTAGAAGTTGTTGTCATTTATCTGTCACATGGGATTTGAACCCCAAATACCATACATTTGTAGCAAGCATCATCGTGCATATTGTTTAATTCAAGTGTTACCATCAGGTTTTCTTGTGCTGATTCATTATATATGGTCCAGTGCTAGTTTTCTTATTGATTAGATTCAGAATTCTGTGTCATGTCAAAATTTTGGAGTAGATTATTTGTTGATTTATCTAATGTATAAACGACCTCTTGGTTGAATTTGTCTTCTTTTTTATGTTATTTTATTTTTATAATAATAATAATAAATTTATTATTATTCTTTTTATGCTAAAGGTTGAGGAAACTAGTAGAGAATTTTTTTTTGCTCCATTTATATTTTTAGGTTTGTATCAGATCTCATAAGACTAGCATGATCTTGCATTGTCAGCTACAGTAGTTTCTTGCCCTGGATTGTCTGGTTAAGACTTAAGACCTTTTAACCTTATGTTTTAGTTAGAGATGTTCAACTTTTCTTGAGATCACGTAATTGGGTTATTATAATATCCCACAATTACTGCAAATTAGGAATGCTGATAGCTTTTTAGTGTTTTGGTTGTAAAATCTTGATACCCTTAATAGTACTGAAAGAAGTGAAGAAGACATGAAGAAAATACATAGAAGTAGACCTTCAAATGCATATTGTGGCATTGTTCAATTTATTGATATAATTTAATTGTAATTTGCTTGGCTAATAACTTTACATTTTGACTTATAACCTTAGAACTTAAACTATAACTTTAAACCTTAAAACTACAACTCTTAACTCTTGCTGCTCTCCGGTGAGGAGAGGATCTAAATTACTGTATGACATCTTTTCTGGGTCTTATTGCGTATTGACACTAAACCCACTATAGCTCAAGATGCCGGATCAAAATCATTGGATGACATATTTTGTCAGTCTTGTTGCTTCTTGTCATCAGGTTGTTCATTTCCAGTATTTTTCATGATCTCTTCATGCATTGTCTCATTAGTTTTGTTCGGCACTTTCTCTTCATTGTCTTGGAAATCAGTCACTACAGGTTCTGTGCTCAGGTTCTTCAACTCATGTTGCTTGTCCTGCAATTTTAATTGGTTCTTGGTGTACACCTGATTCCAAACCTTGTCAAATTCCGAAAGACACATTTTCAACTCTTCTCTTTTCTGAATGAGGCGTGGTGAGATGACCTGCAATGCAGGAACTGGACTGTTATGCAATAGTTCCACCACATCAAGGCCACGTTCACCATACAAACGTTCTATGCATCTCAAATCAAAACCAGTCAAGTAATCTTCAATCTTCATTGTTGTAGTCTGGATTTTATTCTGATCGATTTCGATCAATAAGTCCTTTACCCTCTCAGAAGCTGAAGCTACATACTCCAACAACATATCCATCTCTAATCTGTCGTCTTCGCATCTCAATAGGATTTCCTCCTCCTTTGTTCTATGCATTTGTTTAGAATAGGAATTCCCCCTTCTTGGAGCCACACATACCAACTTATCATTCAGAACTTGATCACCAATCTCCGATCTGTTGCTTATCCAAGGCATCGGAAAATTCTCATGCAAAACCCAGTAGCTGGGAGAAACTTGCTGGCATTTAGAAAGGTCAAGCGCATGAACAGGTTTTACCATATGCTTCTGCAGTTTGGTTTCCTCCAATACTTTCTGCAGTTTGGTTTCCTCCAATACTTTCTGCTGTTTAGTTTCCTTCAATAACTCTGATTTTGGGTCTTTTCTAATTTCACAAGGCAACTTCATAGATTCCTCCATCTTATTATCTCCATAAACTAAACCAACATTCTCTCTATCAGGATTCACACTGCAATCACCTTTAGCCGAAGTGGAATCTATTGAATCCATTACCGTCCGATTGAACTCATCAAACAAATCAGGATGGCCTTGGAAAAGAGCTGCAACCTCATTGACTTTGCGCTCTTGTACTGCGAACCCATCTTGAATTTGATTCATAATCTGTAGGAAAGCTTTATAGATATGTTCATCGTTCCGAAAACGCATTTTCACCTTGTTCAGGAATTCAATGGCTTTTGGATCTCCAACAGGATATTCTTCAGGAGTCCTCTCACTATCATTGTCTTCATCATCATCATCATCTTCTTCGTCATGATCGTCGTATTGGCGAGGCATGAAGTAGTTGAACTTAAAAATCAAGTCAGGATGCCCATCAAACAACTCTATAATTCTCCCTGCAAGATCCGCAACTTCAATTTGTTTATCCCTGTAGCCTCTCAATAGCATTCGAAACTTGGCAAACGTATCACTTTTTCCATCGAATCTGCCGTGCACTTCCCTGATATAAGCTGTAGCTTTCAGTACAAGTTGTTCTTTAGTTGATTGAACACTGTCATCTCCACTTGTTGCTTTCATCAAAGTCTATGATTGAACATTAGGGTTTGTTCTCTAAACTAGAGCTTATAAATTTGCATGGTCGAGTGTTTTTTCGTGACACTAATATATGTTTCCTGTTAACAGATTAAGTTTAATTAGGATTTTAGGAATCAAATTAATTTCAGTGGGATTTTCTAACTTGATTACTTTCCTTTCTTCTCGAGGTGGCTTCCGTTAACGGGACCTAATAAATCGGCTTTAATTTAGTTGTTTGGACTTCACAAATTCTATTTACCTTTATAATATATACTTCACCTTTTTTGGATCTGATCCAAAACTATATTATATAATAATAAACTAGTAATTAATGAGAATAATGTAAAAGGGAAATATATTTTAACAATATATATATATATATAAGTGAACAACTTTTTCCCAACCAAAAAATGTTTCAATGACATTTTCCTACTCACAAACTTTCATAATAACATTTTATTACCCAAATTTATATTCAGTTTCTGATTCTGGCAATATTGCGACCCCACATTATCACCATTCTCTTCCCCGATCATCACTCATTAAAACCTCTTAAACTTTATCTTGCGCGACCCTGTCAATTGTTGGCAATCGACCAATTAGGGTTTGTGCAACCATCCCTCCTAAGTTAAATTCTGATCAATCCTGACCATTAAAATCCAATCTTGCATCATCAAAAGATTTATTGGCTTCCACTCTTCAAAAACCCCAACAGTTTGGATTGAGTTTGTTCTCTATTTGCCGCTAAATTATAAATTTAAAAAGTAAAGTAGTATTTTAAAGTTCTGTGGGTGGGAAAGTGTCATTAAACCATTATTTGGATGGGAAAAGTCGTTAACTCTATATATATTGTATATATATTCTATTTTTATGAGTCATTTTACATATTAAATTAGAAAATTTGGTTTCATATTATTTTAACAATGTATTATGAAATTATTGTATGAATATGATTATTACTGGAATTTGGCAAATACTACATATAAAAACTCTTTGTATAAGTTAACACACTACTCCTGGAAACCTATCTTATGCATTATAACAGTATTGTATCATTTAAAATTAAATATATTGAAATAAATTAGAGTGGATGACGATGATATGTTGTGTCTGATGTTTTGCGGATGTGGCTACTATTTTGAGGGTGGGTGCTGTTTTGAGTCGGTTGTTGGTAGGCTGTTGTTGGTTTGATGGGGTATGGGAGATGGTTCGACGGAGTGGGAAGATTGGTGCGGGTAGGGCTTATGATGGTGGTTTTGCTTGTGTGGGTGCTATTGTGGTGGTTTGTGATGGGGTGGGTTTGGTTCTTTGGTGCAATAGGGGCGTTGGCATAATTGGTTCAACCGATTGTGGGTGGTTTGACGGGTTGTAGCGGGGGTTAGGGGTGGAGGTGTTTTGTAATGGAAGTTGGCGGCTGGCAGGATGAGGTTATTTTTCTATGGTGAGTTTGATTAAATTTGTAATAGTCACAATGTGAGTGATGATTTTTCAAAAATCAAAGGTGATAAGTGATTTATCTTCTTATAATAGTATGTGATTATCAAAAATCAAATATAATTGAAATAAATTACGATGGATGATGTGACAAACATGTAAGTTGTGTTACATCTTTACAAGATTAGTTTGTATGACTACTTTGTACCTATAGGCTATAGTATTACTCATGTTATTATTCTTACGATAATGTTTTGCCTATAAACAAACAGATAAAAATTGCATAAAATTCATGTAAAATAATTATTTTATCTTTTATTTTTTTATTATTATTATTTTTTTTTTTTTGTATGACTCAGTTGTATAATTCAATTGTAAGCATAATATAGCTTTTATTCTTAAGTTATTTGATTTTTCGTATTTACACCTTTGATTTTTCGTATTTACACCTAGTTTTAAGATGTTCTTCGCTCCCATAGTTTTAGTATATTCTTTAAATACCATCTCTTTTCTCATGTCATCTATTTCAGACAATATGGACATATTTTATCAGTTTGCCCTTTATTTTTGCATAGGACTAAGAAAAAAAATTCATAGGATAATCTCAATGCTTTATTTTATTGATGTGATAAAACTGATATTATACTGTTAACTTCGAAATGTCTACCATATCGTTACCAATAAAATAAAGACATAGTTTGCTTTTAAAAGCACCCATCATTATTATTAAACGATGAAGAGTAGTTATTTATGAATTATGGTAAATGAAATAAAAAAAATTAGCATATGCCTATTGTTGAAATAAACAATGTTACTAAAATATCAATATTAAACCCGAAACACCAGTGAACTGAGGAAACCAATGAAGCAAAGAAGCAATTGTATTATTCATATGATCCCTCTTTTAGATAGACTAAAAAAAATATATATTTTAAAAATTTACAGTTATCTCATTAACAATGTTATCAAAAATTTATAATAAATAGATAGAGCTATATAATTACTTATTTATAGGATCCTCTTAACATTAACGTGATTTAAAATCTAACAGATTATGTCTTTGAATAAAATGAAAACACTTCTTATGAATTTTATTAAGGATTAAACCCTAATTTATATGTAATGTAGCTGACTTGGTTCTTATTATTGTTTTTAATTTTATGTTAGTGTGGTTAAACTTCATTAGTGGAAATTTAAAAGTCGATCTAGCACTTTCAATTCTTATTCTCGCACTGTTTTTTCGATATTAATATTTATCAAATTACTTCCTTAATATCAATATATTACAATGTTTGTACTTTTAATATCACTGCTTGTTTAAACCTTTGGTCTAGCCACACTCAAATTAAACTTGAAGGGTGCTTATGTTTCAAAGCCTAACTTAGTTAATAAAGAACAATTAATTTATATGGAGAAAAAGATTTAATTTAATTTTAAAATTAGAAAGTAACTTTAAAATGTATGCGTAACATTCTCATATTCTTAACATGTAATGAACTATATCTGAGCTGTTTTTGCTGTTCTTTTGCTTTTACTGTGTTTGTTTGGTTCCTGGGAATATCCAGGATGCTTAAACTCTTGTAGAGATTCCCTTGTTGGGGGTCTCATTCTTTCTTCTTTATACTATTTCCATTTACCCAAAAAAAGTAATGTGGATGAGAAAAATAAAGAAACAAATTTAATAATAAATACTCATATAATATGTTCTTTTTTATGAAGGGTTGAGATTCAAAGTTGACATTCTAAATATATACGTATATTGTTATTGTATTTGATAATTTTTTCTTTTTAATATACACAACAATAAAGAGATCATATTTGATTTTTTTTTTTTTAATATATACAGCAATAAAGAGATCATATATTTTAGATACCTTTATTATTTTAATATTAATAATTTTCTTAAACAAAAAAGATAACAGAAATCATTGTAAATCTTTTAAAAATCCATTACAAGTGAAACTGCAACTTTAATGTTTTCTAATTGGGTGTTTAATTTTTTTTTTTTTNCCCAAACTAACAATTTTGTTCTCCATCATCAACACAAATTTCCATCGCATTTTCGTGGGATCTTCATCATCTTCATCAGATCTTCGTTAGCTTCGCAGGATCTTCATCATCGTCATCTGGTCTTCGTCGGATCTTCGTCATCTTCGCTCGAGTTTCGTCATCTTCGTCAGATCTGAATCATCTTCGTCGGATCTTCATCATCTTTGTGGGATTTTCGTGGGATTTTAATCGGTGAGTAGGGGGAAAGGATTGTGCTACCTGGAAGGGTCAAGGTGATTGGGAGGAGGATTGGGGAGAAACCTATGCGGGAAAGAGGCAGCCTTCTCTTTTCTTAATCAACATTGGGTGGCCATCAGATTCAAGAAAGCTTGGTATAAAATATTGCTTGAGCATCAAAGTAAAAGCTGGCAGTAAAGATTTGGTTGGGCATCAAAGTAAAAGATTTGATTAAACATTGATTGAGCATCAAAGTAAAAGCTGGCAGTTGAGATTTGCATTTATTTGGGTTTTATGGCAATTAGACAATCAGATGCCAGCAAATTTTATTTTTTTTTTAAATTGAATTAAAAAAAAAAAAAAACAGAATTATTTGGAGTTGGTTAGCGAGTCGGCTCGATAAATCGGCTCGCGAGCTGGCTCGAAATATGTCAAAACAATTATCGAGCCGAGCCGAGCCCTATAATTTATGGCTCGACTCGGCTCATACTCGGCCCGTCAAATCTTCTTCTTTCACGAGCCGAGCTCGTTAAGCCGAAAACTCGGCTCGACTCGGCTCGATAACACCCCTACCAAGAAGCGATCACCAACTAATGAGGAATACTTTACTGTTCTTGTTCTTTGTTAATCAATAAAAACTGTTTTTTTTTTTTTTTTTTTTTAATCTAAATGAATAAATATTAAATACAATCTACATCTTTGCTATCAACTATTGAGATTTACCATTTATGTAAGTTTAAAAAAAAATGAAAATAATAGTTTGTTGGGAAAAAGAATATTCAGATAAGGGCTTTTTTTATAGGAAAATGATAGAGTTACCGACTGGTGTGTACCGATTTTGTGTACTGAATGACGTGGCAAAATCCTGGCCGTTGATTAATATTAACTGATAATAAATAAACGATCAGGATTATGCCACGTCATTCGGTGCACAAAATCGGTACACACCAGTCGGTAACTGTAGCATTACTCTTTTTTATATGTTCATGATTCATCCCGATAACGATGCGGAACTAAAGCAATCAAAATCAAAATTAACATAAATGTCCTATTATAAACAAACTATTAAATAATCAAGTATTCAATATTAATAAATAAAGAATGCGGAAAAATCTAAATTTATGAACTAATTTTTGTAAATTGGTCAAAAAGTCAAATAACATCATTCTTTCGAGTAGTATTTGCACAGACAAACAGAGTCTCCCAACATGGCATCCTTCTTTATTTTGTAAATAACATGTTCCACCCGAAATTTACCGAAATACATTTTCACCCCTGATTTCGTTTATTTCATATTTCCATTCTTAAATTAACACCGTCTTCTTTGATTTAACCGTTGAAGA